GTCATCAGTGGTTTGATGGATTCCAAGTACGATCTACACCGACTCGTCTAGTTCCACTGTAAATCTGGAGTCGGTAAAGATCATTGAACCAAACCCTATATCCATCTTCATTTTGTTCCTGGGTGATCATAGGGCGATATTTTTGTTTTCTATTATGTTTCCCAACAATTTTTCCATGACACAACCCCTGCTGGCGCATAGAATTAAGTCCAGGTTCATGGATAATTTGTTGAAATGTGTTTCTTACCTCCCACCTTAAAGGATAAGTTGCAGCGTAGTTTTTGCTATGTTTCTTTTTACCTGAATGAAGTTGTATACTATGTACGTTTCATGTATATTAAATAAAGTTGGAAGGTCGTGAGGATTTTGCCGTGTTCATAGTCACAAAAATAAATGCCGACCCAACGAAGATGATGTAAGTGAACCATCATGCAAACTCCAAGCAGACAATCCAACCACCGAGAGTCAACTGTGAAAACAAGACCGTCTGCCGACACATGTCCACAGTTCACAGATGAATTGTGGAGAGAACATACCACCAAAATCTATTATTGGGAAAGCTTATGCGATCTCATGCCCACATCACAAGTGTACGCGAGTGGTAAATCTGGACATGACAGCCTAAGTGTGCTATGTAGGATGTTTATTACTTTTCGAGTATGGAAACTTGGCTCGAGTGGATGGTGTCTAAACCCAAATGTGGCCTTCATTTTCCACCGAGTTGATATTAGAGTGAAACCAATATATGTTTTAGTTGAATAGGCGATAACAAGCTTCGCCATTTCCTTTCACTTGTTCTGCCTCAAAGTGCACTAATTCAACTGCAAATAGATTAGGGTTAGACTTGATCGGCTCAGATACATTTTTAGGCATCTCGTTAGCGCACAACCATTTTTGTAATTTTCATTGGAGGAAGAGAGCCGGTCCAGTTTATCAGGAAAATAACAGGAAAAATCAAACCTTAAAACTTAACAAAATTTGGTCATTTTAGTAAATTTGAGCTAAAACCACCCACACACTCACACTGTTGGGTGAGGAAGGGGGGACTGACAACACATGTCGGATGGAGAAGCAAGATCCGATGTGAAGTGGTTCTAGGCCTTGTCAACTCATCAAGAAGGACAAATCGCCATGAAAATGTTTGAAGTGTAGCCTAGGCATGGCAAGATCGTTCTCATTCTTAAAATTGAAATTGTGATGAATTATTGCACCAAAATTGGATACGTTTGACATATATTTCAAAGGAAGAAAAATCAAAATGGTATAAATTTTTGGAAAATATCCTTGAGATATAGTAAAATTGTAAGGTTCACCCATGTGGGAAGCTCAAGGTACAGGCACCAAACTGGTCAAATCACTTACTACACACAATTACTTCCTCGGTTCACAAATATAAGATGTTTTGAATATATTTTAATATATAGACTACATACGGAATGAAACGAATAAACAAACACACTAAAGCATGTATATATATATATATATATATATATATATATATATATATATATATATATATATATATATAGGGTAACGCTATTCTAAGCGTGAGTGTAGAATAGCTTATTCTACACCTCCTAGTAACGCTATATACAAAATCTAGTAAAACGGTGTACAAAATATAGTAATTTAGAAAATATTTTTTTTATCATCCAAGTTTGTAATTTACTACATTTTTATGAAAATTACTATATTTTACATAGTGTGTTACTATATTTTGTATGTAACGTTACTAGGGTGTAG